TAGATAATCTTATTAAATTTAATAGCCTTATCGTTATATAGCTCGTAAATTTAGATATAAATAATTACGAAGATATTAAAAGAATTCTTAAGTCTTATAAAAAAGAGCTAAATTAGAAAGGATTTTAATAGAGCGAGCGATTTATATAGGCTAGCGATTTCGATAATAATCTTATAAAAGTTCTTTTTATATTAATAAACGTCTCTTTTAAAAGTAAGAGTAATATTAAGTAATTAGCGAATTAGCTTTATATAAAGTTTAAAATCTTTAAACTTATAATATTTAGCGATAGCGTTTAATATTATCTAAGAATTCTTATTATTATAATTAATCTTAATAAGTTAATAATTACTATATTTAAGATATTAGAAAATAATTATATAAGTTTTAAACTTTATAATTTTAATAAAGAGTAAAAGATTATTAAGTATTAATTAGTTTTTAATATCTTATTTTTATCTAATATATCTTATATTAGATTTTAGAATAGCGATAAAGATTAAAGAAAAACTATCTTCGTTAGAAAAGAAAAAATTAAGATTAAATATTAATTATAAAGTATTATAATTAATTATTTAAATCTATTATCGCTAGAAGATAGTTTAGATAAAAATATATAGAATATTAATAGAGAGAGCGATAACGGCGATAATAATAATAATTTAACTATTATTTTAGATAAGATAATAAATTTAAAGAAAGATTTTAAGAATAATTTTAAAGTAGATATAATAGGCTCTTTAGTATAAAGATTAAATAGCTTAATATCGCTTAAAGGGCTAAGAGTATCTTCGCTAGCTTCGGATTTAAGATTAATAAGACTATCGTTTAATAAAGTAGCGAGAATAGAATAGATACTCTAATCGTCGTTAGAGTTCTCGAAGATCTTATTAATACTAGTTAACTATCGCCTTTAAGCTTTAAGTTCTTATATAAAAAATAGAAAGTATTTATACGTAGAGCTACGATAGATATAGACGATATAATTAAAATAAAAGATACTTAATAATAAAAATAACTTATAAATAAAGACTAATTTCTAATAAGATTATACGGAGTGTAATTATTATAAATATACGAATCTTCTTCTTAAAGGGAAATTAATATCCTTCTTATACTACTTATTTAGAGACTTAGATCTAGGATATTTATATCGCTAACTGCTATCGTAAGACTTCGAAGATTATTTTAACTTTATAATTATAATAATAGAATATAAATAATTATAAAGAAAAAATTCGATAATAAAGTCTTAATTCTCTTTTTTAAGAGGCTTCTAAAGATTTAGAAGTTAATATTAATAAGATATTCTTATTATTTTAATCTTAGTAGACTTATAAGCGTATTAGAAGATAGTAGTATTAGCTCTAAATTACTTTAAACTACGATTAGACTATTAATACTAATATTTAATTACTTTTAATTAATAACTATTAATTCGATAGTTAATATATAATTTTAAAGTTAATATTAATATAAAATAACTTTACTTTTAATAAAGTTAAATATTTTAACTTAGCGAAAGCTAATAAAATTTAAAGAAATTTTAGCGATATAACTCGATTATATAACGATATAATTATATACTTAATATATTTAGCGAGTTCGATATTTCGACTAGAGGCGATATATCTCGACCCGCTTAGAGTAAAAATAATAGCGACTCTTAGTCTCTTATATTATTAATAAATTATACTCGCTTAAATCTATAACTATTTTAAGAGAGAGAAATATCTTTATTAAGAAGATTAAAAGAATATCTTTATAGCTACTACTATCTCTATATAATAGACTTTAAATATTATAAGATAAATATTAAAAGTCTAAAAGTAATCGTAGTTATAGAGGCGAATAATAATAATAATATAATAATTATCGAGTAAAGCTCGAGTTTATAATCTATAGAAATATAAGATAAGATATTTAGTTATTAACTATAAAGTTACTATAAAGAAAAGAGCGATTAGATATAAATACGCTAAGATATATTACGTAATTATATTACGTAATCGCTAAGACGTTAAGAGTTATATAATTCGAATTTTAATAAATACTTCTAAGATCTCTATAAAATATAATATTATTTTATACTATAGCTATTTATATTCTATATCTTATTAATATAAATCGAAATATTCTTCGTCTATAATAATATTAAGACTCTTTAAAGAGAATTAATAAAATTCCTCTATCGATTTTAAAGTAATCGTACGAGCAGCTAATATTAATTCGAGTTTAGCGTATTAAGTTATCGTAAAGCATATTTCTATAAGTTAATAATTATTTAGACGCGAAATAGAAAATATTCGCTAAGTTAGCTACTTCGAAGTAGAATAGCATTTACGCTTATATTATAATTATAAAATTTTTATATAAAATTTAAATAACTTATAAATATTAAATATTAAATATTTAATAATAATTTATAAAGATCTCGAAAATTTCGAAGTATTTTTAAGATTATTTTAAGTTAATTATAGAATTATCGCGAAAATTTCGAATTATCTTTTAAAGTCTCGAAAATTTCGAGTTAATAATAATAGATTTATCGCGAAAATTTCGAATTATCTTTTAAAGTCTCGAAATTTTCGAAATTTTTAAATTAATAATAGTATTTTTAAGATTATTTTAAGTTTATTATAGAATTATCGCGAAAATTTCGAATTATTATTTAAAGTCTTAAAATTTTCGAAGTTTTTAAATTAATAATAATATTTTTAAAAATATTTTTAGTTAATTATAGAATTATCGCGAAAATTTTTAAATTATCTTTTAAAGTCTCGAAATTTTCGAAATTTTTAAATTAATAAAAGTATTTTTAAAATTATTTTAAGTTAATTATAGAATTATCGCGAAAATTTCGAATTATCTCTTAAAGTCTTAAAATTTTTAAAGTTTCTAAATTAATAATAGAATTATTACGAAAATTTCGAATTAATAATAATAGAATTAGTTTAAATTTTTTAAAATAATTATAAAGTTATAACGAAGATTTTAAAATATTTATAAATTTCGAAAATTTCGAGTTTTTATAGAAAAATCTCGAATTTTTCAAAATATTTATAAATTTATTATAAAAAAATTATATATAATAAAAATATAATAAATAACTAAGTTATTAAATTTATTTAAAAAAATAACGTTTATAATATTTATAAATTATAGATATTTTTAAAAATATAATATTTTATATAATAGATTATAATAGTTTATATAATAAAGAAAAAAAGCTTTAAAATATAAAATAAAAATAAAAAAGTAGATTTAATTTTATAGTATCTTTATATATATTAAGAAATAAGAAAATAATAAATAAATAAAAATAAAAAATAAATAAAAATAAGTAAGTATATTAATAAAGAAAAGAATTATTATTTTATATATATACTAATATATAGAATAACTATTAATATTTACTTCTAGAGAATTTAGATTTTTTATTAACTCGAAATTATCGTTTGAAATTATCGTTTAAAATTATTATTCGAAATTATTATTCGAAATCATCATTCGAAATTATCGTTCGAAATTATCGTTCAAAATTATCGTTTAAAATTATCATTTAAAATTATTAATTAAAATTATCGAAATTATAGCTACGATAATTTCGAATAAAAAAAATCGAAAATTTCGAGTTACTTAAATTTTTATTAAGAGTAATCGTCTTAAACGATTATTAGACGACTTTAAATTTAAGTTTATTATATTTACTAGTTAAATTTATATATATAGAGAATATATTTAATATAAGTTAATAATTATTCTCTTAGTAATAATAATTATTCTTAAAACTCGAATTTTTCGCTATAATAAATATTCTCGAAAAATTCGCGGCGCTTCGCGTTTTTATAAATTGTTAGTAATATCTCTACGAGGGTTTATATTTAGATTTAAATAGAGGTATCTAGCTTCGAAGCTCGATGACGAGCTCTCTACGGAGGCCCTACGAAGGCCTTACGAAGGGTACTATTATGATATTCTTCTATTTGTAAAGCGAAAATATCGAATTTCGGTATTTGATGGTAGGGGGTAGGGCTTAGGGTCGGGCTTAGCGTGGGTCACCGTTCAGCCGCGCCTGGACGGTTACCAGACCCCCATCAGGGGGTGCAAAAAGTGACGAGGCCAACTAGGCCGGATTTGGACATAGCTTCTCCAGACCAAACTGGCTACATTTCTGCTATTCTACCACTACCAGATCACCACGTAGCTGATTTAATACCCTTGCCACTGTTATTTACAAGCCATGAACAGCGATCCGACATCTCATCGATTCGTTTCTGGATTTCTTCTAGAGTAGCGGGGTTGCTATGTGGTTACGTCCAAATCCGGCCTAGTTGGCCTCGTCACTTTTTGCACCCCCTGGTGCCCCGTTGAAGGCCACATTCTTGGAGAGCTCCTTCCTTGTTTCTCACATCCACAGCATTCCTTATGGGCTGTGTGCGTCAGAAGGAGAGAGTGTTTGTCATGAGGAGGATGTCATGGCGCATAGCAGTAATGTCGGTGCTACACGGTTCGCTGTCGGCGTCCTTGGCGGAGACGCTGCAGCCTAGATTTGTGCGAGGCTGCAGCAGATCAAAGGGTTGATAGGCTGTCAAGGAGCCGAAAAGAGCCGGCTGGTACGCCTGCAGATGCGCAGCTACGACGCTACAAGGGCTTGGAAGCTGCGGTGGGGAATGTGGGACTCAGCCTTCCGCAATGGATGGCATTGATTGGTGACTCGGGCCCTGAGAAGCTTTGTTAAGAGGCTGAGAATATGCATCATGGTATTTCTGGCCGTGCTCGTAGTTGCAATCCTCTGCTATGACTTACCCATGTTGGACAAATCAAGTGGTACAGCCTCACAACGCAGCCTTGTGCCCCGCGGTCAAAGCGCCGTCCATGCAGGCAGAGGCGCCACATCAGCTCCGTAGCCTTGCTCCCGAACTTCTTCATCTTTCGCTCTCCGTCTTCTCCATTTTATCCCCCGTTGACTTAGCATCACATTAACAATATCACAAACGATGGCAGATCCTCTATCCGTCTCCGCTAGTATCTCTGGCCTGATTACCCTCGCTGATATAGTCTTTCGTCGGACCTACAAGTACGTGAAAGCTGTCAAAAAAGCACCGAAAGAGATATCAGCCTTGTCTGCGGAGATAGGCGCCCTCTACGGAATCCTCAGCAATCTGCAACTGGTCTCTCGTCAGCTTGAAGATGAGACATTCGAATCAACTACACGAGTACATCACATCCACTCATGCTATCAAACGCTGGAACATGTGAAGTCTATTTTGGATAGAGATGACACATCTTCGCTAGGCGATCAGCGACTAGAGACCCTTAAGAGAAAGTTAAGATGGCCATTTACGTCTTCAGAGGTCAAAGACCTAATCACAGAAATCGAGCGTCACAAGACAACATTGGGGCTGGCATTGAACGTTGACTGTATGTCCGGTCTCCTCAAGGCGCTATCCAGACAAGACCAATTTCTCGATACAATTGAGGGAATGAGGACCGAGCTCAAGGAGAGACACGAAGCTGAAACGCGCATCGCCATCAACAAAGAGAGACAAGAAATCTTGGAATCATTCGCGAAGGTCGATTCTCGCAGCAATCACGACATGAGCCGAAAGCTGCGGAGCCCTGGCACAGGTCTTTGGTTGACAGAAGGTCAAGAATTCAGACAATGGTGGGAAACCAAAAACGCCAGACTTTGGTTTTACGGAATTCCAGGCGCGGGCAAGACCGTTTTGGCCTCCTCTGCGATCGAGGAAGCCTTGCGAATGAGCAGCCCCAGTATCGCAGTTGCGTTTTTTTACTGCGACTACAAAGATTCAGCCAAGCAAGACTTGTCGAACATACTAGGTTCATTGGCTCAGCAATTCGCTAAGCAGGACGAGGAGAGCTTTGCGAAGCTTCGACAATTCTACGAGACTCATAACCCAGAGCATCAACAGCATTTTGCTTATGACTCGGACCATTTGTGGGGTCTTGTAAGGAAAATGACATTAGTCTTCGATTGTGCTATGATCATTGTCGACGGACTTGACGAATGCGGGACGAATGCGCCCTTAGTGGTTGACGCTCTCACCGCCCTCAATGACGGTGAGGATACTACCATCAAGACAATATTTCTGAGCAGGGACGAGATAGAAATTCGCGAGCGTCTGGAAAATTACAAAAAAGTTTCGATTGCCGCCAGGAGTAGCGATCTTAGGCTCTACGTTGGGGCTGAGATTGATCTCAGAACGCGTAAAAAAAGGCTCAGGATCAAGGATCAGTCACTCAAAGAACACATCTTGGAAAGGCTGGTGGAAGGTGCAGAAGGCATGTATGTTCTACATTTCATTACCCACTTATGTTATAGGATGTCGGGATTTTACTGACAGTGCAATTGAGCAAGGTTTCGCTGGGTTACTTGTCAGATGGACTACTTGTGTGAGTTACCGAACGATGCCGCCCGCCGCATAGCACTTGGATCTTTGCCACCGGACCTGACTTCCACGTATGAGAGGATTCTTAAAGCCGGGTGAACCAAAGTAACCCAGAAACGCAGAAGCTGGTTCGAAGGGCGCTACGTTGGATTACATTTTAACAAAGATTTCATTACCACCGAAGCTTTGTGTGAAGCCGTATCTATTGACTTCGGCAATACAAGGCGAAATCCTCAGGCTATACCTGACCTGTTCGAGATCTTACACTGGTGCAGCAGCCTTGTACGAAAATCGGCGAATGGCAACACGCTGGAGTTAGCTCACTTTACGGTCCAAGAATTCCTCCAGCAAATTGATCCCAGACGGGATATTTCATTTGGGGCGTATCGAATCGATCCCGAAAGCGACGAGCTCACACTTGCAAAGGTATGCCTTACATACCTGAACTTTGAAGACTTCGACCAAGGCGGTCCGTTTGGCGAAGATGTAGTAGAGCGTCGTTTCCATGAATCTCCGTTTCGAAGTTTTGCTATTGACGGATGGGATCACGCTGCTCGCAAGAACTTGGATGACCCTGAACTTTTTCGATTGGTGCAGAAGCTGTTCAGCCCCTCTAAACCGAATACATTAGTCTCATGGATGCACGATATGACTGCCAAACATCCTGCATGGGGGTCTCAATATAAGGAAACACAGATTATCATCAGCTCTATGTTTGCTGAAGCAACCGCGCTGCATTACGCCGCCATGTACAACCTCACCAAAGTGTGTAGCTGGCTTATCAAGAGTGGATGTGACGTCAACCGAAACACTAGTTTTGGTACACCACTTCACTTCGCGATTTTGAGGTTATGAAACTTGGCGCTGGAGATTCCCCCCCTGAAACAATTGGAACGAGAACCAGGTGGTTTTGTCCGATGACACCGCTGGTGACACTGTTGACCTCCTTCTAGGATGTGGAGCGGATCCAAATTGCTGTTATGATCTGGACGATGAGAAGCTGTCACCTCTCTTCATGGCCTTGATTACTAGGCGATGGGATCTTGCCGAGAGGCTGCTTGATAGGGGTGGATTAATTGACAGTGGCTGCCTAGACATACTTGAAAACCATGCGCGATCTGAAGATATCTGCAAATTGGTAGAACATACAAGCAACGATAACGTGCTGCGAGAGAACCACAGTCGTTTGCTTCAATTGGCTTTGAGAGCGAAGACCTGGTCGAACGCGACTCGCCTAATGCATGAGGATAGTGATCAGCCCTGTCAAAACACGCACTACGAGCATGTCTTGCGTACTGCTGCTGAATTTGGGCAAGTGGAGATCGTAACACGCTTACTGGACAATCAGAAGCTTGATGTTGATGCAGCAGATGAAGGTACGGGATTCACAGCCCTTCACCATGCAGCAAGGACCGATCAGCTCGAGGTTGCGCAAATATTGATGGATCGAGGAGCCAATTCGAGCAGACCGGATAGCCTAGGAAGGACCGCATTACATCATTCCGTCCAGAGAAAAGAGGTTCGTTGTCTTCAGTTTCTCTTGCAGCAGGATGCAGATACTAGTCTTCGGGACTTAGAAGGCATGACCGTAGGGCATTTAGCTGCCCAAGGAGGCAACGCTCAAGCACTGAGCATTCTGCTGAGTATGCCGGTCGATTCAGCATTAACGACTGGTCTCGAAGCAAATGATGGAAGGACGGCTTTCCTCTGCGCTTCAGCGAATGGGTCTAAAGAAGCCATGAGCTTACTTCTCCGGGCCGGCAGTAGCCTTACCGAGACGACTTCAGATGGATGCTCTGCACTACACTATGCTGCCAAGTCTGGCAGCTTGGAAGGTGTTAAGTTCCTCATTGGACACACTATTGATCCATGTGCGGTGACCCTCGATGAGTCGAATGCATTGCATTATGCCATCAGTGGGAACAGCGAAACGCTTCCAGAAAGTGTACATGTTCTGCTTGAATACGGTGTGGACCCCCACAAAGCTCGCAATGACGGATTCACACCACTTCATGATCTCGTGAGGATCATCAGGGAGAATTCTTTGTCTTCAGATCAACTTGATCACCTTTTTGCTGCTAGCCGAACACTGCTAAGGAAGCTGCTGGGGAACCCTAGACTCGCATCAGACCTACGGTTGGGCTCTGAGCTGATATACTTGGCTTGCACACACTCTTTTCGTCGTGCGAATGAGATCGTCTTGGATCTCCTGGAACTTGGTCTCGACTGCAACATTCCTTCTTCGAACGGTAGAACTGCGCTCATGGCTGCAGCAGAAAGTGGGAATGATGCTCTTTTAAGCACATTGCTACTCCATGAAGCTGACCCGTGCATCAATGATTCGGGGCTCAACGCAGTTCATTGTGCTTGCTTCAATGACCACAAAAATATTCTTGTTCAATTGAGAGAAACGGGTATAGATTGGAATAGTAAGACAACTACTACAATCATAGGCTGCCGACGTAAAAATGTCACTGCGCTTCATATCGCCGCCCAATTCCAGGATAGCAGCGTTCTCGAATACTTGCTGAATGAAGATCTCATGTCGAACATTGACGCCTGCACAGACCGTGGAGAAACGCCGTTGCATGTGGCCGTATGGGCAGGAGCATCCCGAAATGTGTCTCTTTTGTTGTCGAACAAGGCAGACGCTAGTGTTGTAGATGCGCTTGGCAGTAGTGCAATTCATCAGGCTGCGAGATGGGGTGTTGAAGAAGTCATTGTTGAATTCATAGGACATGGTTCAGATTTGGGGCTGGCAAACAGCCTTGGACTGGACCCCGAGTTGGTAGCGAGGAAGTATGGTCACGAGAGCCTTGCAAAGATCATTATGGACTATGTTTATGAACAAAGTGAGTCTTGCGAATCCGGCCAACGGAACTAATGCGAATAATCTAATTCGGTGTTTCTGCAGACGAGGAACCAAACACCCACACAGACAGTCAGAGACCAGGCAAAACCCACGGAGCATCGGAAGCATTGAAAATAGCTATAGATATAGGAGACCTTGAACTTTGCATGCGCCTCGTTGAGGATGGAGCGGATCTCCGATCTGGTTTTAAGTGGTGCATGGGATGCACACCTCTTCTTTACTCTCTCCATAAAGGACAACATGCCATTTCCGAGTACCTTGTCTCTCAAGGAGCCTCAACTGCAGGTAGTGCATGTGAGTTTTTTTCAACTCGAGGGTTCACTGCATTCCATTATGCCGCATTTTCGGGCTTAGTGGAGTTGCTTCGATTGCTACTTGGGAAAGCTCCGAGCGAGATATATGTTAACCGTGATCCGATACATTCTCTACACTATGCTGTACTTGAAAACAATACTGAGTGTGTCAAGCTGATGTTAGAGCACGCTAGTCAAGGTATGCACTTATCCTCGTATCGGCTCCTCTAGTATGGTAACGAGAAAATCAACACAGGAGAGGGAAGAACCACTCGCGATGGGCTTGGCACGTTGCAGGAAAATCTTGGTCGGATGGTCAACATGCAGGTGCAGGGCGATATGCTCCGTTGGTCTTGGTACGCTGAGCCTAGTGAATCGTTTCCCGAATCACTCTTAACAGCAAAGCCACTACACATCGCCGCAAGCGAGGGAAATTCAGATATTGTACTGATGTTGTTGGATTACGGAGCGTCTATTGACTGCGTGGACGGGGAATACGCGACACCATTGCATCATGCCGCATCTAATGGCCAGACGGCCATAGTAAGACTCCTCCTTGACTCAGGAGCAAACCCGAACGCCGTGGATTCGACACTCGAAAGTCCATGCATGGCTGCTGCTTTCAACGACCAACTTGATTCAATTCGAGCATTACTGCAAGGTGGTGCAGACATCCAACTACGAAATTGTTATGGTCAAAACGCTCTACACCTTGCTGCAAGTTCTGGATCAAAGAATGTGTTTGTGTTTCTGCTGAACACACCGACTGGGCACAGTTTAGGTGCAGAGGACATATTGGGTATATCATTTCTCGATGAAGCCATCAGTTGCAGATCAAGCTTTCCAATGACCTTGTTGTTGAACCTGGCGCTCCCGGTCGAAGCCTATGAGTCTCGAACACGCAACATCTTGAGCACAGCTGTTGCTCATCACTCCGCAACTGACGTTAGACAACTATTACGGCGACTACCGACCGGCCTTCTGCCCAGACTCCTGAACCATCCCGATCTACATTGGGGCACACCACTACACACAGCAGCTGTGCTGCCAAGTCTTGATACTATAAACCTGTTGCTTGACACGGGTGCCCACCTTGAGGTCGAGGAATCCGAGTATGGCACTGCGTTGATGGGGGCCTGCGCGACCGGTCGCCTTGCGGCAGTCAAATTGCTTGTCGCGAGAGGTGCAAAGGCATCATATGAGAAAGACGGGCAGTGTTACAGCGCACTTCTCGCTGCGAAACACCACCCGGAGGTTAGAAGGTGGCTACTTGTTGGGAGGTTCTTGGAGGGTCCGAAGCTACTCACGTACAAGGAAGTCGAGTAGAGGAGTTGACGGCATATTATGGTTAGACCCTTCTGCTAGACCTGATTGAAAGTCTGTATACGGTGTGATGCACGATGCAAGGTAAAGCTTGGTGGATGACATGTTGAGCTCATGAATGTTTGACAGATCACTTCGTTTCATCTATCTGGAAGCCCGAAATGACATTACATTGGACGTAGCATACTCTGAGTTTGAAGCAGCCTTCGCTATCGCCTTTCTTTTCCTTACAGTATCACAGGACTTGAAAGACTTGTGGGATGTACGGACAGCAAGCCGTGAGCCACCCGATTTGATTCGAGTGTCCTCGGCAAAACAGCGGAACCCTCACGCAATCTCTTCCTGCTCCTTTTGCACTCGTGTCATGAATTGATCCAGATCATGCACTTTACGCCGTGAGTATATTTCCATCAACAGAACGCGAAAGACAGAAGGGAATGCTTGTCATATGCGTTGCTCCAATGGGTTGTAGCTGTGGACCGTGTGTGCCGCGGCTCAACGACGCCGATGATCTGGTCATTTTCCTCCTCAGTATCGAATTTACCGTTTTTGACATCTTCGAGGACTACTGAATGCGTGTATGGCTCAATATCGACATCATGGTTTCTTGCATTCGGGTTTAGGTTTGCCATGCTTATGCACAAACCAAGGCCACCACGGCACCGCGTAAACAGTAACCGAGCAAGTTCTAGGCAAGGTATTAGCATCGCGAAAGAGGAGAAAGAGTCACATCCAAGTTCTTTACTCAAAAGGTGTGCGTGCATGCTACTGACCCAGTCTGCCGTCATGTATCGGACACATAGGTTTCCGAGCATCGACTCCTTGTAATCGAAACCGCTCAGGGTTTCTCTGACGCCGAGGCACTGCCCCAGTCACGAAGCCAAGGCGGTGCTGAGCCGGGCGGGGCGCGGGCATCCGTTCGGTTTTCTTGGTCTTCGGTGTTCGGGTCAGGCTGTGCGGGGGAAACTTCACGGCGAGCGGCGAGAGCTGGGCACGGTGTTCGAGTCTGCCGTGATTGAGCTAGCGGGTGTGATTTGAGCGCTGATCATGGCAATTCGGAGGCCGTGGGTCACGATCTGAAGTCGGTGGGGACTAGATTTGTGTTTTTGGGGGGGAGGGGTTTCTAGGTATGTGCGGTGACCCGGTGATAATTTCTTGGTAAAGGCTATTTTTGACTCGTGGAGGGGACACGACTATGTTGGTGCTGGTTGTTGTGGTTGGCTTGCTGTTTGAGCTCTTTGTTCGGGATTGGAAGCTCGAGTATGTGGGCTACTTGGGCGAGATGGAGAGAGGAGAGCATAGGGAAGGCGAGGTTGAACGTGTGGAACTATGTTGGGTGGTATGTTTCAGGCTCGCGCCATCTCCATAGACGATAACGCCTCAGGAGACATTGAAGATGCTGACATAATGAAGGGTAATAAGGCGTACTAGAGACACAGAGTGAGAGGAATGAAAATGGTAGATATCAAAGAAGAAAAATGGCGCTTAGAGACGGAGAAGTATATCAGAGGGGGGAGGACGAAATTAAAAACCCGCTTGCAATGATTAGAGCTAACGTGAATGCCTGCAACAATAACAACAATGACAACAACAGCAATCAGTACAAAAATAGCGACAATGGCTATGACGGCTTTCGCGCCATCCGCATCAACTTAGCCGCGTTGTACGTTATGGCTTACCATGGAGTAAATAAGGGAACTAGAAAGGCACTTTGGGCCCCAGGGGGAGGTGGCTTCAAATGATCATTGAGAGTCGTCCCCCATCTCGTCCATGACAGCAGCGTTATAGTTCAACCTTTCAAGTCCAAATGAGTAAGCTCACGTTTATATCAAACTCAAGCTTGGATACCTAAGCTCACATTTGAATTAAACCAACCTCAAATCTGGACACCTAAGCTCACATTTGAATTCAACCAACCTCAAATTTGGGCATCTAAGCTCACAATTCAACTAGGCCTTCACTCTAAAACTTCATATGCCGGCTTTTCAAAACTTTCCCGCCTTCAAAAACTTCAGTTTTCAAAAAGGTTTCTTGGACTACATGATTCCTCTGTTCTAGCATTGACTGACATATTCCTATCTACTCCTTTGATGACACTGCGCTTCACTCTAATCGCATCGAGTCATACCACCAGCTATTCAAAGGGCCCCACCCCCCACCCCCCAGCTTCCGCCTTCCAACTTTCAACGATAACTCTTGGACTACCGATTTCTCTTTTTCATCTCTGACTGATGTTTTCCCACCTACCACTTTGGCGTCACCTCATCCTCTTCACCCACAAATCAATCATCATGACCGAGCCAGAGCCTATGATTGAGGCTATGAGCGATCGCAAAGATGGTGCATACGACGGAAAGAGCACAGTACGACTTCGATTCATCCTTTCTTTCATCATGTGTAATAACACGGTTATAGGGTGTCGAGGAAAACGCATTTCAGCACGATCGCACCGATGAGGTTCCAGAGCACCCGAGCATGACCCAGAATAAAGCAACCGGTGAAGGAAAACATCGACAAGATGATGACGACGGGTCGAAGATGCCCACGGGGTCCGCATCGAAGAAGCGCAAGCGCGAAATTGGATTGCCACGAACACCTACCCCCGGGTATCTTCAGTATAACACAGCCCGCTATGAATTGTATGATCCCGAAAGACGCAACACTGGTGCATCCGTCGACGGACCGTTCAAGTCCTTCCGCCAATACGATAATTATACACTGTACTCGAATCCAGGCGTCCAGGAAGCGAAGGATATTCCAGGAAAAGGCGTCCGCCTTGATGATCTGGCAGTCGCTTTGGTTCTTACTCAGTGCGGTCAAAAGACACTGCATGAAAATTGGCCGGCGGAGTTCGATTTGAATGGGATGGTTCGCGCGACGAGAGTGGGTCTTGGTCTCGCCGCGAAAGCCTACCAGTCGGAGGGGGATGTCGACATCGATGGAAACGTGGTGACAAAGGCAGAGGAAGGCTACTATTACCGGTGGTGGCGCGATATACACTGTCTGTGTGGGAAGGAAGGGCTGGAGGCCGGACAGTACAAGATTCGTCCATCCCATGAAGATCTCGGGCGTCCAGGTTTCGGATTCAAGATCTCTTCACGAGCCAAAGTTCAGTTGGAGCCTGGCAACCCCAACGATCCCAGCTTCTCGTGCTGTAAAGCCTTCACGACGTCCGTCAAGTCCGGGGCCGCTAATAAGTCCAAGACCGCTACCGAGACCGAGGCGACCGGGATCGCCTAGGCACACAAGACGCCCAAGACCAAGTGATTCGACCTGATGGCTGAACGTGGTGGATGTGGGACAAAACCATGCGGCGTGGCTGCGACACATCGATAGACTTGAGGCGGACCCTCAAAGATTTTTCTTTTCTTTACTGGATAGAGCGAACGTGATGAGAGCATTCGATATGGCATAGATGTGGTTGACGTGGCGGATGGTCTCGAAAGGAATCCCCGAGGGGAACCTTTTCTCTTAGGATAGTGCAGACATGATATGATGAGAACTTCAAATGAGACATGGTGGCTGAACGTGGTGGGCGTGATGATCTGGAGGCAAACTCGCGTAGCGTGGGTTTGACGTCTTCATAGTCGTGATAGGGATCCCTGAAGACTAATGCATCATTTCAAGCACAACATTTGCTATCTCTGTCGAAATTGAGGATTCAATTCGCGGTGACATATATCATGTACACGATAAAGGGAAATGGGTTAGAATACTATGTCGCTCTAGGGATGTGATTTTATACCAAAGGTGTAGCAGATGAGTAGATGCCGTTACTGGCCTGGAGGACATTGCTGGATGCATCAGTCAATTGATGGCAGCATCCGAACCGTCGCGTTGCCTTGAAATTCAAGTTTCGCTAAGCCTGGAATATGCGGAAAGTGCTAATCCGAAAAGGGTTTAGCGAGCTTAGCACGAGGCAAGTCGCGTCTTCCACGCGAGTGCACGCATGCCACTTACACACAACCGCTTCAAGTATATACAGCAAGCTGCTTTTCACTTTGATCTGCTTAGGGGCCGTCTCTGCCCATGATCTACCGTACCAATAGCACTCGCTCTGATTGATTCACCCAATTGTCTGTTCTTGCGACGCGTCGCTGGCTCTGACATGGCTGGTAACTCGCTAGACATCAAGGGGGACCTCTGCAACTATCTCCAGGTTATCGACAGTGGCAAATTTGCAACCTCTGGGCCACTGAATGGTGCCAGTAATCCAGGCTTGTTCGTCAAGGGAATCGGAAAAGTTGGGCTTCCACTCTCTGAACGAGACGCTGCAGACCTCAGTCGTGCAAGCCATGAGGCGCCTTTTGGCAAAGGCAGTGAGACCTTTGTTGATCCGACAGTACGCAAGACATTGGAGCTGAATTCTAGCCAATTCGAGCTGCGTAATCCCGCCTGGCCATCGACACTACACGAGGTTGTTGGGAAAGTCGCTCAGGAACTTGGCGTCGTTGATGGCGCTTCCAGTATTCGTGCTGAGTTGTACAAGTTGCTGCTGTATGAACCAGGTGCGTTCTTCAACAAACACAGAGAGTATGCTGCCAACCCTGTCAACATCTGTGATTGTACTGAGCACTAGCAGTACCGAAAAAGCCCCAGGGATGTTCGCCACTCTTGTGATCGCACTACCTTCTGAGCATACTGTTGGCCGTGTCATTGTTCAACTCAGAGACGAGGAGCAGACCCTTGAAACGCAGGGTCTATGTGATTTTGGCTGCGCTTACCTTGCCTGGTACGCTGACGTGAATCACTCTGTGTCGAAAGTAGAGTCTGGGTATCGACTCGTCTTGACGTACAACTTGATACACCAAGCATCCGGTTCGAGCCGAGTAGCTTCAATCTTGAGCGATCACAAGCAGAACCTGAACAAGGTCTTGGCACTTTGGAGCAAGCAAGATCGCGAGATCAAGTCTCATTCTGACTATGTCTACGAAAAGATGGTGTACATACTCGAGCATGAGTACTCCGAAGCCAACATCTGTCTCGACCATCTCAAAGGAAAAGATCAACTTCGAACCCGCTACTTGTCGGAAGCTTGTCAAGATCAAGGCTTCTGTCTCTTCTTCGCGCAGTTTGAGTACAGTCAGTCTGGAACTGTCGACGAAAACGAGGATGATCCCGATTGGGCAGATCACCTAAACGATGCGGACTATCATGAATTTCTCAATGAACTTGAATCAAATTGGAAACTCCTGACTGTCTTCCAGTCTGATGGCCAGCAATTAGCAGAGGATATCGATTTGGAAGAAGAAGAAATCCTCGAGAATGCCGACTTCTCGGGTATTGAACCGGATGAGGAGGAATGTGATGGCTTGACTGGCAATGAGGGATGCACTGCCACGCATTTCTATCACAGGACTTGCGCTGTGATACTTCCCAGGACTCGCCGTCTTAACTTTGTGTCAGTTGCTAGGGAAATCAATGTTAGAGAGTATATAGCCACGCTTCTAAGTGAGATGCAAGATGAGGCGTTGTCCATTGCGTCACGAGAGGAACTGAAGAAGTTCTGTGAGATGGTTATCGATGCGAAGAAGACGCCGCAAAAGCCGCAAAAAGGATCTGTGGAGGATTCCTACAGCTTCAGTTGGCGTAAGGAAGAATCCGAAATCAAGGGTCTCTCACGTGTTTCTGACGAGGAGCTGGCTTTCGTTGGTGAGGCTACTTTGAGGCTCAATAGGCCAGATCTACTAGAAGAGGTCGCGAGGGTGGCATCGCGAATGCTGCCTCTCGACCTCTTTCCGAAGCTGGGTAAAGGTCTCACTGATCGCGATGTAAGCCTTTGGCAGAATGGGTAAATAAACATCACATCCTCTGGTACTTTGCTTACTTCCCGCAAGAATAAAAATGGCGATACTCCGCATTCCCAGCATCTCCGAACGTATGAGGGCCGTGGAGCTGTTCATCAGCAGCTACCGAGGGGCTACGGGGACCACTGCTGCTGCTATGCACAACATGCAGGACATTGAGCGTGAAATGGCCATGAGCATGACGGCGACAGAGAGTGAGACGATCGTCGTGACGGCGGCTGATGCTCAGACCCTGATACAATTCTCTAAAGAATATGGCGAAAACTACACGTTTCAAGTGGTCCTTCCACTGGTCAAGAAACACACCTCTAATATAGAATTCATTGTTGCATTCCTAACAGGGCTTTTTCGAGCCAGCGAGGCCGATAAGCTTCGCCTTGAGATCGTCCAGAACCTCTTCCAAGACATTCTTGGCGATGTGATTTCAGACCTCCAACTTCAGTACCGAGAAGTTGGACACGAACAGCTGCTGAATGAGTTCGCTAAACGGAGGCGCTTCGATTACAATGGGCACGTATTTCAGGCCGCGGAAGACCAAATCCCGAGAGCCATGACCGCAGAGAAACTGGCGAGTCTATTTCACAGCTGTGAAAAGCTGGGTCTCTCTCGTGAAATCGATCAGCTCGCCGATAAAATTATCTCGCATGCTCCCAACGCGAATACCGTGACTTTCGAGCGTGTTCTTCTACAACTAATTAAACAGCTTCCGCCGCCCGTCGAAGGAGCATCCAAGATCGCAAACCCTCACAGCTATACGCGTCTCTTTCGCACAGTTCTCTCGTCCTACATCAACACCTACGTCCAACCCGCCCCCCAAAAGCCTACAGGCTTGGAGCGCCAACCTCGTGGCTGTAGCCTCTATTGCGATGACTGTGTAAAGCTCGACGCCTTTCTTAATAATCAACAAAGGGCCCAAGTGCACTTCTCGCTCAATGGCAAGCGTCGCGATCACATAGAAGAGCGCTTGAGACAAAGTTATTGCAGCACGGAAACCATAAAGCATCGGACGCCATACACTCTCGTTGTGAAAAAGACGGGGATGGAGTGGGAGAATGCGATGAAGGAATGGAAGCAGAGATGTGAGGTTGCATGGAAGACTGTTGAGGAGATCGGAATTGAAAAGTTGAAAGGGTTGCTTGGGGAGGGATGGGAGGATGTTGTGGGGTTCGGAGGTATCATGCCGGATGGTAGGGAAGAGAGCGGTGAGAGACGCCCTTTTGGCAATCTGGCGCAGGGGAAGGGAACAAGTGGTGCGGTGGAGACAGGGGCGAACAAGGTAGCGGGGCATGTTGGGCCTGAGATCATTGATCTGGATTGTGAGTAAGGTACAGCAGATTAGGCGGAGGTGACCCAGCTCTCAAGGGCGTTTTGACGAACAATACCATGTTGCTCTTCTAGCCTTTGAGAATCTGTACCGTTTCAGCAGCTTATACACCATGTTTAAAGCAGGAGATACGCGTCCAGTGCAAGCTATACACATATCGTATCTCTATCGGCAGATGGCTTCTCATTCGAATTCGACTCTTCCAAAGCCATTGTATACCATTGTGCCGCCCGCTCACGCCTGCATATAGACATCTCGCTCCAGACTTATGCCATAAACACCGGAGTTCTTTTACGCTGGAGTACGAGAAGATGCCTGTTCAGGCCTCTATATAGGCTTGCTATTCGCGACGGGAGACGGCCCAATCATTTCTTTACATCCTGTGTGGCCCCTTTTTGTGTATATGACGTTGATGTTTTCAGGAATACGACGTCTTATCAGGCCTCTATTCAGACCTGTAATTCTTGGCGTTGAGATGGCCTAATCGTTTGTTCATATTCTATGTGTGCTTTGTTTCTGTGTGCCGTGTGTGCTTTTCATAAGTGGGACAATCACATAGTATTTGGATTATTCGGTGGACATGATGGGTTGTTGCTTCACTTAGCATTACTGGAAAGCTCACATGCTTCAGTAGTTTCCATGTTGCCCAGTACTTTTGGTTTGATGAGCCAACATATTTACATCCTCAGTCAACCCATAAGTGCTCCATGATCTTCTCAAATATGAACCCATCTACTTGGTCCCTGTTGCTGACTAAAGCTTCACCGTCCTTCCCCAATGATTAGGCTCCACTCACCGTGTCGAGGTGCTCCATGTACTTCGCTCGGTCTTCAACAGCGCGTAAAAGTCCGGATTTTGGGGGGATTTCTCGGAAGATGAGGCGGTAGGTAGCCTCCAGGACACGGGATTGAGAACCCTCTCCTTCAGCCCCTCCTGGATGTTCTGCTGGATCTACGTCAACACTTGGTTGCGGAGGAAGCTGATGGAATCGGATGTCGCGTCCCAGGATTTCCCCTAATTCGTCACGAGTTTTTTGACGTACGGCAAGTGATCCGATGTATCATGTGTGACGATCATCATCGTCAATAGTACCCTAGTGAGTCCTCGTCAGTCTGTAATCTTAGGTTTTGCGGCGAGTCATGACAAGTCACTTGAACACTAGACTCAAGTTGGGGTTCCAGCCTTTCTTCTGGGCTGACTAGGGCCAGATTCGCCGTTCATGGCAGACATTCTCTGTCGGGCTGGTTTCTCCGTTTCGACGAACACTACTTGCAAAGATATACGTCGAGTGGATAAGAGCAAGGGAGAACTTCGGATGAAATAGATTTGCAAGAAACAAGGGGCTAAGAGTAAAAAAGGAAAGACATTTTGCTGTTATCAAGCCACTGGTGCTATTATCGGTAACCAGCAGCACCACCTGCCAGCCTAGCGAGATGAACTGTTAACGTTCAAACGGTGGCCACTTGTCGACCAAGGAATGTCTTTTGTGCATCCCTCATGGTGAACGAAGAACGATACGATGCGAGTTAATTATTTTTTTCGTAAGACCCCAAATCCATGCCCTGAGGTCGCACAACTCGACCTAGATCCAAACCTATGTTTCAACGTATGAACACTGTATATCATCAAGTGTGTGAATACCTACACTTGTATGGGCCTGTACCTTGTTCACATGTTGGAAAGGAGACGCTTTAGCTTGACCGATAAGCAGTTTACTTGAGGCAGTGCAATTACTTACATTTGGACACAGAAACTCAAGGAGTCAAGTGGGCAATAACGCTCGAGGATGACAGGACAAGTCCTTGGCATGTATTGAGTCAGATCGCGCCGCTACTGAAGGTTTCAGAAACAAGCGACAAACGACTAGATGCCCGCTTCAAGCCGCTTGCCGACACCCTACTGTTAAGCGCATGTCTTCAGCTCTTCCATTTGCTAGACCAAGTTTGCACATGAAGATGGTCATAGCTCTGATCGGTCCACCAAACTACTACAACATGTCGGTCTTACTACCATCAAACTTCTCACTTGCAACCAACGCGTCAGCGTATAATGGAGGTCTTTCCGTTTTCCCAGCTCCAATTGCTCCTGATGTTGTCCGCTGCTCCAGTTTCTTCTCGGGAGAGCGCCCGCTCGACGGGGATAAATGTCGAAGTACTTGGGATCTCTTACCTCGTGGCAGCAACCAGTCCCCATGGTTTACAAATCCCGAGTCGAGTCCCGCAGGGAAATTCCAATCGCAACTTCCAATTAAAAGAGGCGATGGTTAGTGAAGGTCCGTTGTAATTGACTTGAAGACCCAGATACTGATAGAGATCATTCTCGTAGAAAAGTGTCGCATCAAAGTGTCTGCATCGGGAAAACCCACGGAAGAGGTTAACTTTGCGGTCTACATTTCCGGCAATACTATGCGCGATATGGTGGGACGGATTATCGAGGAGTGTGTTGGAGCCAGAGAAGAATCACAACAGACACCATGGGGAGGTGTTGGGACTTTGTCTATTCGGCAGACCCTCGACTGGATAGTGCAGCCGGGCACTAGGTTCCCAGAAAGTCTAGACATACGTAATTTGTCCGTCGCCGCTCCCTCATAATCTCACACTGACCGAGATAGCAACGAGAACGACCTTCATTACGGCCATGGTGTATTCAAACGAACGGCTCACTGACTACGAACCGGGCGCCCAGAGTAAGGTGATCTCAAGAGTGCTCTTGGATTGGATAGATGCCGCTGCCAGTAGGCTGCCTCATGGCTCGCCATTCTGGGGGGTCCTCGCCAACAGGTTCTTTTATGTCTGGAAGGCGAACGAGGATCAGGAGAGAGGTCGGGGAGACAAAGGCGAGTTTCCGCATTGGTGGGATGATTTGCAAGTTCCACCAAATTTAGAGCGCGGACGCGCAAATGGAACAAAAGGAGCTGGTGGTGGAGTCAGGATTACTCTGAGGGACCTCCGAAAGAGGCTCTTGTGATCGGGAAGAAGTGTCGGGCATCTAGTCTAAGATGATTGTAACTTTGTCGCCCAAAGTTGTGGAGGCAAGGCTTAAGCTCATAGTTGAATCTACTAAGACACCGCATAGCGCTTGTGGTCCTTTACGGTTTTCCTCCCGTATCCTGTGCCTTTATCAATGTCAGCAAACTTCGCATCCTGCGCTAAACGTATTTAAGAAGCTATGTCAGAACAAAAAATGTAATCTGGTGATCTCAAACGACACGTTTCAGCCTTTTTGACTGGGCGAGTTTCATGTTGCTTCATACAGCTTAAAACCTGTTTGGTTTTGAAGTGTCACCTGAAAAGAAACGCGCGGTTGATGTCGAATCGTTTACTTTCGCCACCTGCGGCCGCCGGCGCCTCCTCATTTCAGCTAGTTATACCAAAGTCATCCCACACACGTTCTATGCCTGGTATGTCTCACTGGCTTGAGCTGGCAAGATTTCGGCTATTGAGATGGTGGCCTAGACATTCTTATTGGACTCCGACTACAATCAGATCACCATTTGCCCATGGTCTTCTCACGGGCCGACGCTCGGGAGTGCAGCCCCCTTGCGCAAAGCAGAGCAAACGAGACAAGTTGATGGTAGGGCGAGACAGACTGAAAAAATTGTCCAATTTCAACTGGCTGGAGTAACATTATTTTAAGATAACTAAAACTGTCTCCGTGACCACACGCTACCACAGCCACTGGTTTCCACTGCAGGTACGCAGACTTCTCAGTTTCGAAGTTGCCTCGACAACCCAGCCACCTCCGAATTGCTGAACTTGCGACGGAGACTGCGCATTGATGGTATCAGTACGTGTTGGACTGTAGCCTCGGCTGTTATACTCGGAGTGTGTCCGACCATGGAGTGTCAATTGCAATGGTAGGCAAGCTATGATCAAGCTGCGCTTTTCAGTGCCTCTTGTACTGCCCGTCGATGGTTTCAGTATGTGTCGGACTGCAATCTCCAATTGTGATACTCAAAGTGTATAGAACGATGGAGTGTTATTGGGAATGACTGGCAGGCTTGTTCGAGGCCACGTTTGAGCACCCTTCGCCGTCAGTGGTGCCTAATCCTGCTACACGGTGTGAAAGGAAAGCGCGCTTGCGCTGTCCCCGTATAAAGCTCTCCATCCATCCTGCTTTACTTGGATTCAGCATTTCTTTTCTCCCTCGTCTCGCACATCATCCATTGTGTTCCCTAGCCACTCAACTCGGTCCGCTCTTTCTCTACTACAAACCTCCGCCGTCAGTCGGGATCCGTTCCTTCTCCAAAAGAGGATATGCGTGCCACGTTCATCGGGTTGGCGGGCTCTCTGGTTACGCTGGCGCTGACGCAACGTCTTGACAAACCTCCGCTTGAGACCGGTTTGGACTATCTTCAGAAGGGACTTCTGGAGCATTTGGGCCCAGTGAAGAGCTCATACAAAAAATGGACCCCTGGCTGGATCCCTTCCGACTGCAAGACCATGACGGTGAACGCCAACCTGTCTGTGGCTCACGTGGAGACTTTCAGCGTTCAATACGAAGATGTAGGTACCAGTGTCAACGTTCGCGTTCTCCGAGATCAGCAATCAGTTTATTAATGGTGACAGTGTCCCAACGATCCTTGGCTTCTGTGCCGGCACATAGACAGCCCCGATCCTCTCGAAAATTTGATCGACCTCTTCGGCCGCGTTCCAGTGCGAGCGCGTCAGTGGGTCCGCCACATAGTCAACCTACCTGATCGTAAACCTTCCCCCCCAAACTGCTCTTTGTATCTGGCTAAGCTAACTCATCTCGCAGCCACCAACTTTACTAGCGCCTACAACTGGGCTGGCAACATTGCAATGTTCGAAAGCATCAACCGCGACCTGACCCTCTTCATCCACGAAACCGGCCACTCCCTCGACCTTCTCGGCGCTTACCCTGACAATCCCCTCTCCACCTCCAAACATTGGCACGCGCAATACGCAAAGGACTCCCACGTACCGGATCCGTATTCGCAGAGTAACATATATGAAGACCTCGCGCAGAACACCGTCGTG